ACTAACCAAAATTTATATGTCCTTTGGAGACTTTGGAAGATAAATAATATGGGTTAAATCAAACCACTTGAAAATCATTTATATGTTTTGTGCACTTGATCTTTCTTGTAAAAACTTTATATATTTTCCTGAAATTATTTCATGTTGCAGTTTGACGATGGATGGCTCAAGTTCACACAACAAAATACTAAAAAAATAACCTTGCAACACAGTTCACTACTGGAAGGCTTGACAATGTTTATTAGTTGGAACTTGTCTAGATTTTAACCTTCTGTTTCCATTAGACCTAGCATAATCTGAAAATGATGAGGATATACAGTAATACCTCAGTTCACGAACGCTTCCTTTCGCGAACAAGGAAAGTCGGCAAAATTTTGCTTCCGTTCCCGAACTCTAAATCGGGTGAGGAACACGACCATCTTCCCCGTTCTGACACGTGGTCATGGCTTCCTCTAGTCGAGATCGAGATCGCAGACAGACATGTGCACACTTGCCCACCTTATGGGGAAATATGATTCGGTTCGTGACCAGAATTTTACATTTAAATGCGGTATAAACATCTATGGTAAGTGGGAGGTAAGTGAATTAATGCTTTCTGGTATGACAGGCATTCTGTATTATACACCAGGTAATAAAAGTCACAAGTGTCACGTCTCCCCATCCCCTTCTATTTGTTGTTTTAGAATTGCCTCCCTAGGTACTGAGCATTTCACCAGAGAAGTCTATGAAGCTAACACTTCATGGAGTGAAAAGTAGGCATAGACTGAAAGGCACTGGCAGAGGCTACATGACAATCAGGTGGTTAAAATGGTAGACAGCAGAGGAGTGTGGTTTAAAAAATATACACCCCCCAAGATCTACTTATCAATGCTTTCTACAGCTGAACGTTGAAATAATTATTTACATGCATTTAAAAGGGCAAGCCTGTTTTGCTAGTGATTTATGTGCCAAGATTTTACTGCTAATTTTCACCAGAGGCCAGCTAACCAGTAACAAGACGAAAAAAAACAACAATAATGGTTATGAGCAGCAGAAATTCAATGGTTGCCAGTGCTCCTCACTCCTGGGCAATAGACAAGGAATGCTAGTTATTAACACACCGTTTGACAAGCATAGGATTGTTCTTTTTTTTGTATTATCCTATAACTATGTAACTAGCTCAGGATATCCCCCTTGATAGACACCAAAGTAGATATAAAACATACAGACATAGGCTATCATTGCTTCCTATAGAATGAATACACTACATTTCCCCAAACTGTGGTTGAAATGAACAATTGGCACACTGGGTACAGTGAATTGAACTGGCAGACTTACTGGTAGAAAGGTCAGCTGATAGATATGATACCACTAAAAGAGAAATCTCAGGCAACCCAAGTACTGAGTAATTTAGTTGGCATTAATGTATACCAAGCAGGGATATAGCAACATTTAAAGGACAGGGTAAAAAAAAAAAATGAACGGCTCCCATAGTGCTCATTCAGGGCCACATCCACACATGCACACAGAAGTTACCCAGGAGTCTCCACCCCATATTTCCCAGCTTCGCCCTCTGGAGATGCGAGATCGCTGTGCCTTGTTTGAGAAATAATGTAAGCGCTACAGCAAGACCAAGAGAACAAACATTTAGCATTTCCATATAACTTTAAAAGCACAGACCCCCTAAAATAAATGTTAAAAGGCAGATAAGTCCTGAACAAAAGACATTATGGAGTTATGCCACATGTGCAACACATAAAAAAAAAAAAAGTAAACAACAATAAAATGTATGTGTTCATCTTGTAGTTATACATCCAAGTGGAAGGTCCTGAACAAACCTGATAATGCTGAAAATATAAATACAAATATTAAAACATTACAAATTATAAAATACCCTATTTGCTTGTGACCTTTTTTAGTGACAAACCGGGATCTGTTCAGACCCTATGCAGCTCACCTTACAAGCAAAAGTCAAATCCTCCCCTGCTCCTAATGAATATGCTCTGCAGACAGAAGACTGGATCATTTAAAAAAAAAAAAAAACACCTACCTTTCTGCCTATGAGCCCCTAAAGTGACCCTGTTACTACAGGGTTGAAAGTAAAATAACCCCAGCTTGTAAAAAAAGATGCTATACATTTAGCTTACTGGCAGCCTGTGTGTTTAAACTCTGCCACATTGCTGATCACCAGCTGCTGTAGATACCAGACACTTCCAGGTGTAGTGAATACCTGTTCTGCATACTGTGGTTTCTCCAGCTAGCTGGTTTATATGCAGCTCCAGGACGTATGAGCCAGCTGGTAGAACCACTGCTGCAGGGGTGCTGGCATTCAACACACTCAGAAAAGCTAAAATACCTACAACATGGAGGAATCACCAATGGGCAGAGTTTCAACACATGGGCCATTAGAAAGGTAAGCATATAACATCATGTTTTACGTGGAGTTTATTTATTTTTGACCCAGTACTTATATGGTCACTTTAAGAACTAATATCACTGCTGATAGTATGTTTGTTTCATTTTTTCTTTTGTAGTTTTATATGAAAAAATCAAATAAAATTTGTTTAAAAAAAAAAAAAAAGAAGAACTAATATCATGACAGTAGCATCAGACAGAAATTTTCTTTAAAAAAAAAGTCCTCTAGATTGCAGAAAACCATTAAACCAATGTGCCAATTAAGGTCCATATTTATTCAAGTCAACGTATAGCTAGTAGGACATAGTCACATCTAACTGGACCTGTTGAATGTGACAAACTACTACGAGCCACAGATTTCAAACAGCTAAAGGCAAATAAGTTCATGGTTTATTATTGGTTGCAATGGCTGACGTTGACCATGAAGAGGCAGGCAACTTGCCAAGATCAGTGGCCAGGTAGACAAGTGCCAATCTTTGGATGACTTATAGGGCAGCAGGTCTTCTCACTAATTCTGCCAAAGGATGAATGTGGGAGGTCCTATGGTGAACGTGTGCTTCCTTTTTAGTGATAATAAAAGGAATGGTTTGTCAAGTGATAAGAACACCTTATGTGAACTTGAGAAAGAGCTGTCTATGCCTGGAACATTTCACCTTTTTGTTAGCTATAGCTTGCCCAGTAAAAGGTGATTTTTTTTTTTTTTTTTCAAAAGAGCAAATTAGTTTTGGGAGTAACTACATCTACTAGATACTTGTCACAGAATTTCTGATATGTAGAAAAATGTACTAGCACTTATTATTGCACTCTACACTGACTTTTATAGAATGCATATGGCCACACTTGCTTCTTATATAATAAGCCAAAACTATTTCCTCTCACAGCAATATCCTTCATTCCTACAGACTAAATTGTATAGAACATCAGTGTAGAGAACAAAAGTGGCCATCCACATAGGAGTATGAGACTTGAATTGATAAAGTGAACTGTAATTACATGTCACTTAAAAAATACAATTTGGACATGTCCTCAGAGAACACAAAAACTAATTTACCTTTCAATTTTATCTTCACCTATAGTCACTATTGAAAGCAACTTTGAACAAATGAATGTCGCTTCCGACAACTGTGATTAATGTAACCGCATGGAGTAACCAAAAAGTTCTCTCAGGGGAAAAAAACCCCAATAAAATAGCACTTTGGCTATTGCATATAATTCACAACAAATTAGTATGATCAGACTAACATGCATATAAATCCTCTAATAAAGTTTACTGGGAACAAAGGAAGTTTGTCCAATATTGACACAGGCGTAATGATGCTTTCCATATGCCACAGCCTTTCTTATACCATTTAAAAGGGATCGTAATACATACCTGTTGTGGAAAATCAACTTTATTCTGTAGCTTGACTAAGGGCTAGTGTTGATGGTCAAGCACAGGATGCTTTTAGGTGCATTATGCTTGCACTAGACATCAGATTGAGGCATCTCTACAATAATTTACATTCCAGTGACAGGTACATTTTATCTACAGTTGACCTCCCCCTAAGGTGCATTAACCTGCTTCAAGTTGCTTTTGTATTCCTATCAATGTGTATGGGGAGGGAAGCACTATCACACATACATGAAGGGCCTATATTGATGGATATTTTGTTCGCTTCAAACAGGTTTTGCATTACCATACAAGTATATGGGAATGCAAAATTCACTGGGAGAAGCTCTAATGGAGGTATGAAGTGGATCTACTGGAGGCCAGTCAATGAATTCTGAATAATGTCAAAAGTGTTCCAACTGATGCATTCGACACAGGCCTGAAGGAACTTCTGTTTCTTTCTTGAATGAGAAATACCGTATGAAGGGTCTATTAGCTAAACTGCAAGTTACCATTCAGCACTCTCAGGCTGGAGCTGAGGTGCGTTTTAAAGGTTTCAAGAAAGCTGCTTAAGCCTGTTAAATGCTTTGTTAATGCTTCAGCCATCCACTGTTCTTTATACTAGGATTATCAAATTAAGATTAAACATTAACATTCGCAAACAAATGTGTTGATTACAAGATCCAGAAATGGACTGGAGTCTCTGGTACTAAATCACTCTGACCATTAAAAACTGTGCTGTATGTGAGACTCACCAGGCCATAAACATACCTCAAAAACACTACCTAGCCCTTACACCCAAATTTTATTGCGAGAAACAGTTTCCTGGACATTTTTCTACGACTTCTATTTATATTAGTATAGGGGTAATAGTGTTTTTTGATTTATGTTTATGGCCTGCTGAGTCTCACATACAAGGTAGTGTTTATTGGGTCAATTAAGATTAAACAATGTCTATGGCTCTGGAATTACAGTGAAACCATGGCAAACCAGTAATATGTATTTATATTGAACTAAGGCAGTTTAGTAGATATGTAAAGGGTTGTGCGTAAAAGGAATTGTGTAGCTACAATACATTTATTTGTATGCATAGTTTGTTCCAGTGCATAGGCAATAAGCCCATTTTAATTTGAAACCCACTGATCACTTATACACCAACAGGTCAACTGTGACTGGAAAAGAAATGACATGTTCTAATGAAATGCTCTTTTTACATCAAATGAAATATTGGATTTACCTTGCTAGTAGATGCTTTGTAAGTGGTCTTCAGCTTCTGTGACAATTGGCTGGTACTGTGGCTGGCTGAAAACATTTAAAAAAAAAGAAGACTTTAAAACATACAGAATAGAAAAGTTCACAGAATCCCCATAAAATGCTACAACAGAGTTGTTCAACTGGAAAGCCTCAGAATAGACACGAATCTCAAAGTAATATTTCTGGGCTAGATGTGGTTCTTTGTCTAGTATTTTTACTGAATCCATCCATGTGCATTGCCAGCACTTGGAATAAGCAAAATTTCAGGTAAATTAATAAAATATAAAAACAATGAATACTTTCCAAGCAGGAGGTTCAATTACACAGATCCTTTGAAAAAGAAGAAAGTTGCAACTAAATAACTTTTGAAAAGGTGCAGTTAAGAGGAATTTTTCACCATCAGTTCTGTTAGTTTCTGTGTCAGATAACTAAGACAGCAGATGACCAAATCAATAATGAAAAACAGAATGTACCCAAATAATTAGTTATCTTGATCCTGGGCTAGTTAACCCCTTCGTGACTGACGACGTACAGTGTACGTCGCCAGCATCGGGGCTGTTTAAACAGACTCCCGGTGACTTTTGCCGCCGGGACTCTGTTTAAACTTGTAGAGCCGACTGTCGGTAATAATTCTAGGGCCAGTATTTTGGGGTATCTCTAAATTGATGACCTGTGGGGGCTTTTAAAGCGTCTTCTATGGACTTTTTGGGGTACTGGGGTTTTTCGCCGTTTTACTGATGCACGCAATTTGTAACCTGGGCATGTTGGGTATCGTTTTACTCGTTGCAACCTCATCTTTTATATTTCATTAAAAAAATGGGTATTTTGTTTTATTTTGGGGCATTTAATTAAATTTTTCACTAAATATGGGGGTTTAATAAGGAGTTGCGCTAACATTGCGCAACATAAAAATTTTCAACTACCACCATTTTATTCTATAGGGTCTTGGCATTCAGAAAATATATAATGTTGGGGGGGGTTTTAAATAATTTTCAGGCCTAAAATGTGGAATATACATGGGTACAAAAAATGAAAAAAAGGCCTCAGTCGTGAAGGGGTTAAAAGGCAGCTTGCTTCTGTTTCAAAAGACAGCATAGTTTTCTGCAGTAAGTATTTAGAGCTGGTAGACTACACCTTTCAATACAATACGTCCCATCACTAAAATTTGATTATGTGTATGGCAACAATGATTCAAGTGACGCTAAGCTCAGGAGTTAAGTGACATTAAACCGTCAGTTTTTTTTTAACATAAAACAATACTGTAATGTGTGTCTTACTGTAATCCATGGTTGTTTTCCTTCTCTTTGCTGCTCTTCCTTTTAAATCTGTATCTGTTCTCATGCTGGGCAGAACTTCTGGTTTGCAGCAGACTGCCTTGTCTCTGGAATGGATACATGGTGTCTGTGTGTAGGTTTGCAACCTGAGCCAGCACTACAGGAAGAGGCACTCAGCTGCAAAGGTAAGCTCTCCCCCAGCATGAGAAAACATGAGGTTTTAATAGGAAGAGCAGCAAAGAGAAGGGAAACTACCATGGATTACAGTAAGGCTCTGTTCACACCTAGGCGTATCGAATATGCGCGTTTTGTGACGCACGTTTTTACCGCGACAAACGCGCGTTTCCGAGGGCTACTTGGCTGTATCCCAATGGAAACGCGCAACAAAAACGCCACAAAGAAGCTCGTGTACCTTTTAAGGCGTAGGCCTTTTTGTAGCGCGTTCAGACGGGCTGAAATACAGCAAGGTGTGAACCATACCCATAGAAAAACAATGGGATTGTCATGTTTGTTTTGTAGAGCGTTCGTAGAGCGTTGAACGCGCTACAAAACGTACAGGTGTGAACCAGGCCTCAGGCACACATTATAGTATTGGTTTATGTTAAAAAATCTGAGGGTTTAATGTCACTTTAAATCTTAAAAAAGCATTCAAGTACCTTCACTATTAAAAGAAATGTAGCTTATTTGTGTACCTTTAAGGGCCACAAGAGGGTTAACCTATCTGCCACAGGAAGGGGTTTTAAAAGGTTTTAAAAGATTAGCTGTGACTAGTGTGGGAGAGACCTGCTGGATTACTGTGCTTCATGACTAATATTTCTGGTTTGGGACTTTTTATACAAGTCGGTGAGAAACATTTATGTATTGTTATGCCGAAGATTTGGCCTTTTACTTTGAGTTTGCTGAAGATAAGCGTAAATTTGTGTTTACCGTTTTTGGCTGCCCTGCAAGAGGAAAATAAAAGCTTTTGTTTCATGCAAAAGCCTCTGTGCGAGTGCTCTGTGAGCTTCCCAACTTCACTAGATTATACATATATTTATTTTATTGTTTTATTTTGAGTGATGTGAGCTGACTATATTGAGCTAATACCAAAAACAGAAGGCAGGTGATATTAAAATAGGGAAGAAGATTACAAGCAGCATCGCACAGAACAGAACCTTCAAAGAGCAAGTGTGATTTTAAACTAGGGCTGCAAATTACCACAAGCAAACATGCAAGGGGTTGTAGGTGTAGCTCTTCTTTTAAGTGCATGTCATTTGGTAACAACCAAAATGGCATTGCGAATGAGAGAAGGGCAGATCAATGCTGTACTAAGTAGTGATATCTATTAGTGTATTATGGAAATGTCATCTTTAAGCCTACTCTAGCCCTCCTGTGCCTTGGCAGCACTGGTATATCAATGAGAACCATTAGGTCTCAAAAGCTCAATAGACATTCAGAACCTCCAAATTTGTCCATGACACCAAACTCTTCCACAATCTATCATTTTTATAGTCACTAAAGACAAAGTAGGTGCAACTTACAGCCAACATTATAAGTACACTAAAGAGCAAAAGGTGCGCGTTAAAGCTGAACATCAAGAAAATAATAGATACACATCTGTAAACAGTCTTATCTGCCAAAGAATGTGAAATTCTGTCCAGCCAATATATGGATTTATTCACAGAAGAGTGACAACACTGGCTCTTTTAGAGACAAGGAATACAGTGGTGTCACCTACACGCCCACAGCCTGAGAGTGAACGTGCAGCACCACACTAATAGATCATGAACTCCTCGGAACCTCCTCGGAGTAGAAGTCCAGTGTCATACATTCTGTGTGCGTACACTTTTTATGGCTAGACAGGATCAAGATGTACAATAGCACACGGACACTGCAGTTTTAGGCTTGATAACAAGATTGGATTTGTTGAATAGTCATTTACCTTTTGTTTTCATTTGACCTTTACTTAAATCAGCTCCATCGATCGTCTGTCCTTCTACTGACAGGCGTTCATTCAATGTGTCTATTTCGCGTCGCACTTCAATATAACAAAAGCAGGAATTAGCATTCAGGAGAAATGTTTAGAATCCTCACTTTAAGCAGGCAAGTAAAAGTCATATTAAATATGCAGTTTTTTAATACACACATTTACAATGGGCTGCATTTCTAGTGGTTGAGCTGCTTTACTAACACCAACATACTCATGACAAGGGCTCATATACAAAAGCGCAAGACTGGAAAGCCCAAATAGTGCTTGTGATGTCGGCACTGTACTGCTGTAAGGTTCATCCTAGATGGTGGTATCTGACTGAGGGCATTATATAAATGAAAAGGTACAGCAGTACTAGCACCTACCGAGCTGGAAGTATCCATGTATTTTCATGCACTAATGCATACAGCAAACCAACAAATAGGCTTATGCCACCCGGTGTAACACACCTAAGTCCAAAGTGTTAGTAAGGTATTCAATGCCGCAGACACGCGCAGTGTGGTACAGACACAGAGTGGGGACAATATAGCAGGCATATGGAGCAGAGGCAGTCTGGGACAGAGTGGGGACAATATAACAGAAACAGAAAGCAGGGGTAGTGTAGGACAAAGTGTGGGGACAGTGTAAAAATCATGGCGAAGGGGCAACATAGGACAAACGAGTGGGGACAATGTAGCAGACACATGGAGAAGGGGCAGTGTAGGACAGACGAGTAGGGACAATGTAGCAGACACATGGAGAAGGGGCAATGTAGGACAGACGAGTGGGGACAATGTAGCAGACACATGGAGAAGGGGCAGTGTAGGACAGACGAGTAGGGACAATGTAGCAGACACATGGAGAAGGGGCAGTGTAGGACAGACGAGTGGGGACTAGGGATGCACCGATATATCGGCTGAAAAATGCACTTTTGGCTAAATGCCGAAAGTGCCATCTTTCTGTCCATACAGCAGCGCATCCCTGCTTTTTTTCCTCCCCACTGGGCGCAGCTCTGTGTCTCAGCGGGAGTAGAGAAAGTGTCACAGACGGCCGAGCACTGCGGGAGGAGAGCAGCCAGCGTCTCTCCTCCCACACCGCTCAGCCTCCTGTCACAGTCCAGCAGAGCGGTGTGTGGGGGGCGGAAACAGCCAGCGCTGTCACAGAAGGCTGAGCGCTCCTCCCTGCACTGCTCGCTCAGCCTCCTGTGACAGCTGTCAGGATGGAGAGTGAGTGCAGACACTCAGCGATCGCTGAGTGTTTGTACATAACACAAGAACATAGTATGGTTACTATAGCCTCAATTATGAATGAATGGGAAGTGATCTACATCACCTCCTGTTCATTTATAATTGTGGTTATAGTAAACATACTCTGTCCTCATGTTATGAATGAACAGGAACACTCAGTATAGAGCAGGGGGTGCCCACAATTTTGACAAGACACATGGAGAAGGGGCAGTGTAGCATAGATGAGTGGGTACAATGTAGCAGACACATAGAGAAGGGGCAGTGTAGGACAGATGGGCGGGGACAATGTAGCAGACACATAGAGAAGGGGCAGCGTAGGACAGATGGGCTGGGACAATGTAGCAGACACATAGAGAAGGGGCAGTGTAGGACAGATGGGCGGGGACAATGTAGCAGACAGATGAAGGGGCAGTGTAGGACAATGTATCAAATATGTGGAGCAAGGGCAGTGCAGAACAGGCACAGATTGGGGACAATGCAGCAGACACAAGGAGCAGGGGCAGTGTAATACAGACATTGAGCAGGAGGCTCAGATGTTAGAGAGACACAGCAGAGGTTCTGTAAAGAGAAAAAAAAGTAAAAAAAACTAGTCCCCTGTTCCCACAGCAACATATTTGATAAGAATGTATTGTCATTTTGTAATTTCTATTCTATCTGTTCTGTCTATCCTTAATAAAACAGAACCGTACATGAAATATTCATCTGAGCGGTTATTCAGGCAACCCCTTATTCCAGCCTCATTAAAATGGTTATTCCATTGTTTAATCTTTGTCCTTGGACACTAATGCTTTGTCTTGATATAGTAAAATTATTTAGACATTTAACATCAAATGTTTTGAGAAGGAAAGTTAGCCAATCACCATCCACACTAGTTTGAGATTAAGAAAGCTAGCACCTACATCCCCCCTATCAATGCCTTGTGTCTATAACAAAGAGATCAGACAGTAACAGATACTAGCGCAGGTGTAAAATGAATAAGACAAAAGCTCTAGTTTCACTTATTTGTTATGATGTAACTATCTATATTTTATAACAATTCTTGTTACGCCACAAACATAAAATTTATGATAACATTTTTGTTTATAAACACTTACATTCATATGCGTGGCCAAGGAGACCACCAAGATGCATCCCACTACATAACCACTCCATGAAAAGCAGAAACTTTATAATACATGTGCTGCCAAGTCATCTGTATTAGTGAGCGTAGGTGTTTCCTGATTTACTCAAGAGATGATCTCATAGTTCCACACAGGATATATTAGAAATTATAATAGGAAGTTTACGAAAACAAGAGAAAATTAAGGAAGAGCTATAGTGGATTACTGAGGATATGTATGCAGCATTGATGTTTTTATATTTAGGTGGGTTCTAGATTTTGGGGACACTATCCTTATGATAAAAATACCCTTGTATTAAGTAGAAGAAGCTCTTTGGAGAGGGGGAGATGCTTGGGATGAGTGGCGACCTCACTTGCTTTTATGGAGCAGTGGTGTGTAGCAAGATGCATCCTGGTGGTGTTCTTGACCACGCATGTGAATGTAAGTGGTTATAAACAAAAAATGAAAAGTGTCCTCTGTAATGTATTAGATATAATTTCAACAACAAAATGTTTAATTAAATATATTTTGATCTAATTTAGGATTATTCCTGAGGAAACAGGGTATCACTGCGATACACGTAGAAAAATGCTGCTCTTAGCCCATCAAAAGCAATGTTTCAAACTAAATGAGGTTTTGGAGAAGATATGATGGAATGGATTTTATTCAATCTAGTTGTTTTATAGGGTAACAGAGAAATAACAGATTGGGTAGAAATACTGAATATGTGTCTTTATTATGTTGATGTAATACCCGCATAAACACCTTTTTAATGCATCGTGCTTTATTTTTTTGTTTGTTTTATACGACAAATAAGAGGTTAATCAAACAATGTTCGTTTACATGATCTGCTTCTAACAAAGCATCTGAAAAGTCCCATTGGAGCATGTATATAAATTTGATATAGTACTGAACTCAGGGATGCGGTGCCGTTGATTTAACTCTGGGGTCAGACTGGTATACCCAAATGGACAGTACTTACATTCCAAGTTCTCAATATATAGGTTCTCAAATTCTCTTTCTATTTGTCCAAAAAGCTCCATGAGTGTATTGCGCACTGATGATGGCAGCTTAGAATCCTACATAAGAAAATCAAAAGGATGAAAAGTAAGAATTTGACTCAAATATCATCTGAAAACTTTAAGTATAAAGAAAAATATTTTTTCTATGCATAGCTTGTAACTATACATGCACATAGCGCAGCCTTACTTTCTCATTAAACACTCAGGCTCTGCTTCCTGTTATACAGTTTTACAGTATATTTAATGGTTGTGCTTTACTGCTGCTCCCATTCACAATGCAAGCATTAGTATTATTAGTCGGCTGAGTAAAAAAAAAAACACACATTCACTGTGATCAATATCTTCTCGCAACAGCTATTAAAGTCCAATTTCACCTTTTTGTTCTACAATTAGTGAAGATGTTGTTAAAATAAAAAAACACAACTCTTGCTGCAATACCCACCTTCCCTCCAGCTCGGTCCAGCAACAGTCCTTTTCTGGGCTAAATTACTCTAAGCTTCATCCACTCCACTTCCTGTGAACCCAGGGTGTCATGGACATAGCCCCTGGGGGTGCATCATCATGCCTGCCTGGGCTCACAGCAAATCCTGGTCAGACTGGCGCTCACACATCAATATGTGACCGTTGCTCAGCCCAAGAGTAATGACCACCCACCACTGGGGAAGAATAGGCAAGACCTGACATCACCAGGCTGGAGCTGGGCTTTGAGGTAACATTGCAATAACTACTCAAAATATGTAGCTACTAAAATTGAACTATATTGTCTTTTCAACTGATCTGCTGGGGTAGACCGAGGCATAATAACCTGAAAGAAGTGCCGTTATTCTAAAATGCTGATGGGACAATAAGAGGGAGCTACGTAGGAAAAGCTAAACAGGAAAAACAATGAATCCTGTGAGTTGGTCTCTAATGTTTGTGCTCCTCCAAACTTCTATTTTAATCCCTCTCACTTTCCGGCACCCCAGAAAAGCAGTGCCGCTCACATGCAGCTTTTCCAATACATACTTTTTAATACTGCCATAACCAAGTGAATACAAGGGGAAGCAGAGACTACATGGAAACGAATGAACTAGGTAATTAATACTTTTACATCCTCCTCCTTTACAGCACGTTTCCTTTTCATTAGAATTCTCTTCCCAACATAAGGGATTAATGATTTCTACAGATTCAGTACTAAAATAAATGGATAAAATTGCATTTAACAAATTAAATCCGAAGAAAAACAGAATTTTTGTACTTGCCATGAAATCCATTTCTTGGATCAGAATTAATTCAGAGACCATTGGTTAGTAATAGATTTAAATGAAAAACATTTTTTTTAAAGTGTTTAGAAATTGAAAATGTAAAAAAAATATATATATATTAAAGCTCCTCGCCCTCATGTTTTGGGTGTTTAAACTAATTTTCAAGCCAAGAATGTGAACTTAAAAAGGCATGTACAAAGAAATCCTCTAGCAGAAAAAAGGGTTAAGTAAGGTATGGCGCTTCACACCCAATTATCATGATGATTATTGAAACACCTGACTCTAATTTCCCTTTCAAAGTAACTATAAAAACAGACCTAAATGGTCATCTACTTCTGGCCACACACAAATATGTAACTATGAAACATTCTCCTTAAAAGGAGAACTATGAGGTGAGTGCTTTTCACTCACCTCATAGTTCTAGCCGACCTGTGACAATGAGACTGTCACAGGTCGGCTCAGTAGATCGGGAGGTGAGCGAATAGATAACAGCTCTCTGCCGTGACAGGGGAGGGGCTGGATTCCCCCTCCCCGCTCCCATCCGCCAGCGCTGACTGGCGGAACGGACGGGGGAGGGGGCGGATACAGTTGGCTCTGCCTCTAGATAGGCAGAGCCATCTGTCAGTCACGCAGCTGGGCGGATCCCTGCACAATTGTCGGGATCCGCTTCAGCTGCGGCGTCTCAGTATACTGCGAGCTGCAGCTCGCGGTATACTAAGCCTAGGGTGACAGGAGGACGCTAGTTTGTGTCCTCCCGTTACCCTAAGGAGAACTATGGGGAAAGGCCTTAACCCCATAGTTCTCCTTTAATAAGTAAACACAATATATGCACCGATATATTGGCCGCCGTAACATATCAGACGAAAATTGCACTTTTGGCTAAATGCGGCGCATCCGTGTGTTCTCTCCTCCATGCTGGGCGCTGCTCTGTGTCCCAGCGGGAGGAGAGAAAGTGTAACAGCCGGCCGAGCGCTGCGGGAGGAGAGCGCTGTGAGGCTGGCATCTAACCTCCTATCACAGTCCGGTAGAGCGGTGTGTGGGCGGTGACTGCCAGTGCTGTCACAGGAGGCTGAGCTCTCCTCCCGCCCCGCCCAGCCTCTTGCGACAGCGTGTCAGGAAGGAGAGCGAGTGCAAACACTCAGTGATCGCTGAGTGTTTGTAGATAGAGGACAGAGTATGTTAACTATATCCTCAATTATGAGTGAATGGGAGTGATCTACATCACCTCCTGTTCATTCATGATTGTGGTTATAGTAAACATACTCTGTCCTCATGTTATGAATGAACAGGAACACTCCGTATAGAGGATTCCTGTTCATTTATAACAGGGGCTGCAGAAAAAGAGATTGAGGACTCTTGGGTCCTCAATCTCTTTTTCCATTTTAAAAAAGGGAAATATCAGGGTCTCTAGACCCCTAAAATGTCCCAAAAGCCCCTAAAAGTAACAAATAAAAATATTTAATAAAAAATAAAATCTAAAAAAATAAAAATAAAAAACATTTTCGGTTTTCGTTTCGGGCTGACAATCTTTTTATTTGGTTTTGTTTCGGATTTGAAATTTCCATTTGGGTGCACCTCTAGTAAACAAGCGTAAAAAGTTTTTGATTCCTCTGTTAATGGAACGCACGGCACAGCAGTGTATCTAGCTTTAGTACTGTAAGGCTAAATTACAATTCCAATTGGACAAATTCAGTAACTGCCCATCGAGCCTCCGTGTTCATGTACAACTGCTCTGCAAGCCACCGTGTCCATATACCGCTGCACTGCGAGCGACAATGGCCTCTATGCTCCCTCCTGTACCATAGCAGTATGTGATTTGTTTATTAGGGACCTCCAATTGTCACTGAGTCACAACAATTGTTTATGTTTAATCGATGTACGCTATCCTATAAGATCAGTTAAGGCGATAAAAAATTAAGCTCTAGAAACACTTTTTTTTTAGACTAACCTTACGCACTGCACAACTCACAAAACGCACATACTGCCAATGAAGTACTGCCAATGAGGTACTGCTAATTGTACTTTATGAACCAGGGCAACCAGTTAAAGTTCAATTGAACATTCAGGTTTTTTGTTGGTTTTTTCCTCTTCATTTTCACGAGGCATGTGCAACAGAATGTTTAGTTTTAAATCAGCTGCATTCTTTCAGATGCCAAAAAACAAAAAGGTGTGTGAGGTGAAAGAGCTCGTGCACACAACAGCACACGCGTTCGCATGTTTTTTTGGGGGGTTTTTTTTTTTACTTGCCATGTGCCACAATGCATTTATAACACAGACTGCAGTGCATTTCTTAGGCCTTTTTTAAAATGTTGTTAGACTTAAACAAACGGGGAGGCTTTAAGAGATGCATTGCTTACCAGGTTATTGAGCCCAGCCACATAAGTCAATACAGAGACGGCAACTTAGGAAAGCAATATATTGCATCAGGAGTGGCATTTAAACATGCAGTAATGTGGCAGGAAATAATTGTGCTGTACTGAGGCAGATCATTGAATTGTGTGGGTCAGCATTCATTACAGCTTACTCAAGTCTATAGTGCTCTGCCAGTGCACGATTCATAGCTACCATTTAGTTATGCTTTATTATACACTATGTATGCATTTTTAACAAATGATTTCTTAAAACTAAAATGCACAGAAGAGCATTTCCTCCAGCGAATAAATGTGACTATGAATTGACAGTGCAATGTTCATGGCATCACAGCAGTTGGGCTTATTCAATAAAGTAGTGCAGAGAGCAATGACAATATTGTTAAGAGCAGGGGTCTCAAAGTACCAACCAGCGAACAGGTAGCATGTGGCCCACAACCAGCTACCAAGTCAGGCGCGTGGTTAAGGACCGTATACCTGGCTTGGGGGAGCAGCTGCATCTCTGTCGGATGCAGACCGCATAGCTGCTCCTGAATGTGCCGACACTATGAAAAGCTTGGACAGCCTTCACTGAGCGGCGGAGGTGTGTGTGGGGGGGGGGGGGGGGGTTGGGGGGGGGGGGGGGTGGCCCATTCACACCTGTATATTTAGGTGCGTTTAGGGATTCACTTTTTCCTGCAGCAGGAATCTCTAATCTGCAATTTACAAGGGGCAGCTGTCACATATTCAAGTTAATGATTGGGTGATAGCTGCTGCATCTAATACGATTACATGCCATTAGAAAACAATCAATCACTCTCCTTGGATGCACAATCGATGTGTCCAGGGATAGTGATTGAATCCTAACCACATGTAATCATACCACATACTAATACATGCTGTGTGAAGGCGTTTACATGCATCAGTTGTCATCTGATCATAACTTGAATGAGTGAAAGCTTCCACTTCTTAATAGCAGATTTGGAATTCCTGCTGCAGGAAAATGCACCTAAACTTACTTATTGTGTGTGAATTAGTTTGCGTATTTTTGTGTGCGAGAATCTGTTGCTCTATGATTAAAATTAAAACCTGTGGGGGGAAAAATAAAACCACACACACACACACACACACACATATATACACCGAGTGGGCAGATTATTATGACCACCTGACGTTTGTTGGCAAATGTCTGCGGGTTTGTGGCATGCTCGTAAGACAAATGCCGAACGGGCCAGTGTGCGCAAGCGCACACTGCCCGTTCAGCGTTGCAGTCATCAGAAGCCCGCCCCTCAGCAGGACGGGCTTTGGATGATCTCAAATACGATCTGCCTGTCCAAGATGGGCAGATCGTACAAGATTTTAATTAGCTTACAACCATCGCAAGACAAAAGTCTTGCGATGGTTGTAACGTGTATGGGCACTTTTATTTCTGGCATTGTCCCCTGCAGACCAGCTGCTCTCTTATCCAGCACCGCCCCTCTTCTGCTCAACTTAATCCAGGCCTCATACCTCGAAAATTTTACTCCTGGATTGAGTAGGGAAGGGGTAACATCACTGTCCGATTTTTAGTTTTTGACTGGGTAGGGAAGGAGTTTGGAATTTGTTTTGTCTTGGACCGAGTTGGGAAGGGGTAAAAACTCTGCTTGATTTTAAGTCTGGGCTGAGTAGTAAGGGTTTTTTAAAAACCTCAGTCAGATTTGTATTCCTGGCTTGAGCAGGGAAGGGGTAAAACCTGTCATATTTTAGTTTTGGACACAGTAGGGAAGGTGTAAAACCTGTCATATTTTAGTTTTGGACACAGTAGGGAAGGTGTAAAACCTGTCATATTTTAGTTTTGGACACAGTAGGGAAGGGGTAAAACCTGTCATATTTTAGTTTTGGACACGGTAGGGAAGGTGTAAAACCTGTCATATTTTAGTTTTGGACACAGTAGGGAAGGGGTAAAACCAGATTTTTACTGGTGTCTATGGCCGCATAGTGGAGATAATGTCACCTGGAAATGAGGTGGGGGAAATCACCAACAGGAACACAGCATAAAATATGTGGGGCTCTAGCCTTTAACTAGTCCACTACTGTAAAAAAAAAAAATGCGTGTGCCTCTTAAAAATATATTTTCAAAGAGACAGGGAGTAAAAGTACATTTATCCAGCAGTAAAAACTGACAGAAGACCTTACTTTTGGGTGCACTATCCAGAAAACAAAAAAAAAAAAGAAAGTTTTAGGTACGGATGCATTTAAAACATGTCATTAACCCTTAATTTTTTTTACTTTTTTTCTGTTTATGGGGGCCACTTAAGTGTGGGGGGATGCAGTGAATGCATTAAGGTAAAAATCACCAAGTATTTAGTACTACATTTACATACACTGTAAATGGACCGGCTTTGTGACACATACTGATTACCTACCTTGTTCCCTGGCATTATGGAAATTCTATTTAAGGGAGGACAAACTTCCAACTCCAGAGTTTTTAAAAACACATCTGCAGCTCAACCAAGACCTCTAACCACACACACACACACACACACACACACACACACACTAAAAAAAGACAAACATGGAGCTACATATCACCTGTCCCTCCAGCAAGTCCCTCTGCAGACCGGGCCGCTCTTGCTCTGAGCTGTTCGTCCGTTTTAACGTCAGGCTGTTAGACTTGCGCTTTTGTTTGGTCTGCCGCGCAGTCGACCAGCTTCCACTTTCCGTGGGCATCCTGCCTCACTTTTTGGTTGTCAGCACAATGAAGAGAAACTACAAAAAAAAAAAAATCAGATGAGCTAATTTTAGAATCAAATTAATTTCAAGCAGATCTGCATCTTTGCAGTTAGAAATTAAACCACTGCGCAATTATAAATATAAGAAAGGCAACGTTTGCTGCATTACTTACCTTCACTCTGGCACTGTCCCCTGCAGAAGGTCTGCTCCTCTTCTGGGCTGAATGACCCCCCCCAGCCCATCCTGTAAACCCAGGCTGTCATAGTCCAACCCCTCTGGGTGTGTAATCACTGAATTACGGCTCTAAATAGTGTTCACACATCATTATGTGAGGGCTGCTAAGGGCTGCTAAGGGCTGCTAAGTGCAGAAGTAAGGACTGAGACCCCATGTGAGAGGAGGAAGGTCCCTTAAAGCAGGTGTAACTCTAAGAAAGTTTATAGATACAAAGCCACTAAACATTTAAAAAGGCTAAAAAAGCTGAATTCCCTTCAGCCATTAAATGTAAGCATTAAGTGGTTCTCCTTCATGTAGTAAGGCTGAAGGCTTTCTTAATCTGGGGGGGAGCTGGAAGGCCAAGGAATGCTTTCCATAATCATGGTCCCGCAGGCTTCCTTCACACCGGGTACCTCTCACAATAAGCCACTCCCCCCTCACCAGTTGTGCAGTCGTTAAATATAAGCATATAGGACAAGCAGTCCTTCATGGTACATGGACATAGAGGGCTTACAAAGGCCTGCTGCACAAACACATCTAAAAGACAAAAACTTTTTTTTTTTTTTTATTTAATATTTGTAGATATGCTGTGTGGATAAGAACGCACAAACATAGTGGGGGGTTCTTTTAATCTGAACTCCAGGATAAGCACTAAATGCTAGAGGCATGTGTATTCTTCCTTGAATCTGTGTGCTTTGTGTAGCTCAGATGTGTCTAGTAATTTAGCAGAACTGTGCAGGAGCTCCACGTAATAAAGACCAGTCCCTGCTGCTCTCTCCTTGTGCAGGGCGACTAGTCTTGTATCCGCCCCATCCTGTGTTTTTTTTGCAGGCAGTCTAATGGGAGAACCTGATGGGTCCCTCCCACATCTCTGCTCTCTGGACAGGCTTTATACCGCACAGTGGTGATGTCCCTGCTAATTTACAAGGTAATATTTGGCTTCGCAAAAGCATTTGGTGCACATAAAAAGGGAGGTTTTTTTTTTAACCTTTTTACATATAGAATAATATATTTCACAAAAGAATTGAGCGAGATTTTTAACCCTTGCATTAAGGCTACCCTCACACTGCAAGGGTTAACTGCTCATTTTGGTCTAAATAAATTTGCCTGGAGTTCTTCTTTAAAAGTAAAAGAAAGTTTTTGTGCCCCGAGTTCAGCTTTAAAAGCAGATCTATCAGAAACATAGAGCAGCACTTTATACTCATGTCCGACTCTTGACCTTGTTGTCTTAAGCACTGTAATGTATTCAGATGGATGATTCTAAATAATCTCATGGTATGGAAGACAACCCACACCAAAGGCGGATAGATGTTTTTGCAGATGTGTAATTTAATAAAGAATTTCAATAAAAACGGTTTAAAAAGTTATAATGCTTCATCCAAAGTGGGCAGATAAGACGAGAATGATGTCAGGTCCCTGCCCTCGGGATGTTTGCCTATAGGCGCTTTGCTCTGTACTGGCCATTTACATGCAGACATTTTTTGGATAGCTGCATACCAACTTTACTTCCATAGGGACAGAAGGGTTTTAACCCCAAAGTATTCTTCTAATAAATCCACATATATTGTCTTAGCACCTCTGTCTCTCTTATGTGTTCAATGATTTATCAGCCTCTCTGCTTATATGCTTTATGTACAGCAAGGAGCTATACGTGCCGGCCTTTTCTCGTGTGAATGAGGCCTAATTGATACTGGAAACCCTTGTTCTACGAGTTTGAGAGGACTTCTCAAAAAGGACCAAAACTACATTTAAAAGGTCTATGCATCCATTTGTTTTGCTTTCCTTGGGAAGAAGTGACATTATTGCATTTAAGTTGTGCCTTTGTTTGAAAACGCTCAGTTGAGCAAGCACTTTTGTTTGCTTATTTCTGCTGGTTGTGCCAGGCCTATTAATAAAAAGGCAAAGGACTTTATTTTTGAACAAAATTGCATCATCATTGTGTGGCGTTTCCAATGGTGAAGACTGCATGGTTAAAGATCCCAGGTCACAGCCAGTGCCAAGCCAGTACCGATGTTTACACGCAAGTTCCAGAATATGAATTTTCCACATTCGAGACGTTGTGCAAACGCCTGTAGCAGCGTTTACACACATATGCCCATGTACAGCGTGTTCTGTCCGTACATTCTTATGGGGGGGGAAACGCAGCAGCTGGGGGCTCCTGGGCATCCCGAAATACAGGCATATTTTATGATATATGCCAAACACCAGTATTTGCTCCCATGTGAGATCAGGGGTGGGAACTCTGGCCCTCCAGCTGTTCTGGAATTACAAGTCCCATGAGGCATTGCAAGACTGACATTTACAGGACTGACTTCCAGAGGCATGTTGGGATTTGTAGATGAAGCACAGATGGAGGGCCCTGCCTTAGATTCATCCCTGCCAGCCAGTTGTGAGCAACAATACGGATCCCGCCTGTCTAAAGGGTTGTCGGAGACTTGTAATTAATTTACCACTATACGTACATAGAATGGTGTCGGCAAAGAACATAATGAGAAGAAAAATAGGAACATTTAAAATGACAGGACTCTGATATCAGCACAGCCCTCTATAGACGGCAAGCAAATATTACTTGTATAAGAGGTGAGAGGTTATGTTTGCAAAGCTGATTGATGTCTCCAGTGAGCTTTTTGAAACTACATTCATTCTTAAAGCAAACAGTGTTTTAGGGTGGTTCCACTTTCACTAAAAAAAAAAAACAAACGTATAGCGGTGGAAGACCAAACCTTCAATATCAAAGGCTTCCTACAGCTGCCATTGCAGAATATTCCTGCTTGCAAAACCACCAGCGGCAACACAAAATATACCTCACTTTGTATTAAAGGAGTTGTCAAGTCCCAGCATACACGATCCTGTTATAACATCAGCATTGTAATCAGTGGTGTATTTACAAATCCTTCTG